TATATATATATATATATATATATACACATACATATATATACATACACTATATTTTAACTTGTAATCAAAGCAAGGACCTAACTAGATCCGAACGTAAAATTAACCCAGAAATAAGAGAGCTAACTTAATATACTGGCCTAACTAAGATTATGCATTGTCATAGAATTAAAATCTTATAATAAATAAAATACATTGATTCATATCTTGGTTGTTAGCAATGTTTCACATATACGTGTAGCTAAGTGTTATATCTAAACATTTGGTGATCGTCAAATCTTTAAAGAAGCTCCCAAGTTGCTGGTGTGGTTCTTTACTTGGCTCTTGGACGAAGCTAGAAATTACTGTTCACAAAACTGTATACAATATTTCCTCTTAGTCCTGTATATGAGAATGTGTTCAAACTAATCTTTGTCAATGCTGAAACCTCAAGTTACTAACTTGTGTCTACACCATTCATTACCATTGGTATTCACGTGTTTTTTGTTTGTTATACCACTCACTGACCAAACTGAGTGAAATTGCACATTTTCTTGTAAAATACAAGTAGTGATTAGTAGAATAAATTGTTTTTCAGAGTTTGTAGATTGCATACTGGAAGGATTTAGACATTTTTCCAGTGAATTTAGAAAAAGAAAATTACCTTTACCCTCCAGATATTAAAAAAACCACTTCAATTCAGCCAGTGTTTTGCCCATTGCGACTTCAACAGGGCTAGTAATACAAAGATTGAGGTTAATTGTAATGTGACAGTATTTTTTTTTTGCTTGTGACTAGTATATTATTAGGGATTATGGACCCACCAGAAGTTTGGTGCCCAAATACTTCAAACAAATGAGTTTAAAACATTGGTTGGATCAGTATGGAACCTCATAGTTAAGGTTAACGCAACTTCAATGGTGGGTGCACGATGTTTATAGTTAGTACATGAGAAACTTTTATTATATTAAAACTAATTATTTGAAAGTTTTGTTAACCCGCACTAATATGGTGTGATTTCTTTAAAGAATAATTTTTGGATAAATCTGACAAGTAAAAATACTAGTTACTGCTACTGGCTTTCTCTCATGAACTCTTTAGTATATGATTAATTAGTTAGTACAATCAAAGTAGGTTAGGAAAGTTAACACTGTTCAATCCAAGTTGGTCAGGTCAGTATACAATTCAATCTGGGTAGAGGTTAGCCAGTGTCCAACCCATGCTCATTAAGAAAGTTAGCCAGTGTCCAATCCATGTTGATTAGGAAAGTTAGCCACTGTCCAATCCATGTTGATTAGGAAAGTTAGCCAGTGTCCAATCCATGTTGATTAGGAAAGTTAGTCAGTGTCCAATCCATGTTGGTTAGGAAAGTTAGTCTGTGTGCAATCCAAGCTGGCTAGAAAGGTTAATATGTGATCCATGTTGGTTAGGAAAGTTAGTCAGTGTGCAATCCAAGCTGGCTAGAAAGGTTAATATGTGATCCATGTTGGTTAGGAAAGTTAGTTTATGGGCAATA